TATGTGGCTAGATGTTTTACCTGTCAGCAGGTGAAGGCAGAGCATCAGAGACCGGCAGGGGCACTGCAGCCTTTACCCATTCCAGAGTGGAAGTGGGCAGATATTTCCATGGATTTTATTGTGGGGTTGCCGAAGTTGAAAAGGGGAATGATTCAGTTTGGGTGATAGTGGACCGGTTGACGAAGTCAGCACATTTCATTCCGGTGAGGACCACTTATACAGCCGAGGCTTATGCGAGGATATTTATCCGGGAGATAGTTCGACTTCATGGAGTTCCAGACACGATCGTATCGGATCGAGGATCGGTTTTCACCTCGCATTTTTGGAGGAGTTTTCAGGACTCATTTGGCAGCACGCTATCTTATAGCAGTGTATTTCACCCCCAGACGGATGGCCAGACAGAGAGGGTGAATCAGGTGTTGGAGGACATGTTGCGGGCATGTGTCATTGACTTCCAGGGTAGTTGGGAGGATCATATTCCACTGGTAGAGTTTGCTTATAACAATAGTTATCAAGCGACGATCGGTATGGCCCCGTATGAAGCATTGTATGGGAGACCTTGTAGATCACCGATATGTTGGGCCGAGCCGGAGGATAGCTTGATGCTTGGGCCCGAGTTGGTGAGGCAGACTACCGAGAAGGTAGCATTGATCAGGGAGCGGATTCTAGCAGCTCAGAGTCGACAGAAGAGCTATGCCGATAAGAGACGAAGACCCTTGGAGTTTCAGGTTGGAGACTCCGTCATGCTGAAGGTATCGCCTATGAAAGGCGTACAGCGTTTCGGACGACGGGGGAAGCTTGCGCCAAGATATATTGGACCATTTCAGATTTTAGAGCGCATTGGAGCTGTGTCATATAGACTAGATCTTCCAGCATCGATGTCTAGTATACACAACGTGTTTCATGTTTCTATGCTTAAGAAACACTTGCATGATGAGGAGCAGCAGCGAGTATTGGATGCACCAGAGATCGAGCTTCAGGAGGATTTGACCACTATTGAGATTCCGATTCGTATTCTTGCCAGAGAGGACAAGACTTGGTTGAGCAGGTAAATAATTTCCTATGATGTTATATATGTTACCTTATGTATATTCTTGGTTATGTTTATATTTAACACTAGAATGAAGATATTTTCGCTTGATTTTTAATATTTGGAACACATGGTATATATATGGGGGGTTCCTTGTTTGGATTTTTCACCCGATGTACTAGTTCCACTAGATTACGGTTTGAACGAGAATGTTATCATTTTAGATCTTTAAGTATAAATATTCTTTATGAGCACCTAGAAACTCATGTTCGAGACGCGGATGATTTCCGAATTTCGAGGACGAATATTATCATTTTAGATCGTTAAGTGTAAATATCTCTATAAGGTTATCTAAGAGTTCATATTTCAAGTTCGCATGATTTCCGAATTTCGAGGACGAAATTCTTTTAAGGGGGGAAGAATGTAAAACCCCGGAAATTTCTATAATATATGTGAATTATTAATAGTGAAGAAATTCCCTTGTGATGAATAACCATATAAATATAAGATATATATGTTTATCAGTGTTTGGGAACCCAGCAGGTGTTTACAAGTGAGAGATATCGAGTGGGGATAAGGACAGCTTGAGAAATGCCTGAAGTAAGGCATTTTTATGCTGAGCGGTCGACCGGCGCGGTCGAC